CTCAATTCAGAAGGTTTGGATTATGGTTTGAGATCCAGTTTTTTTTTTTATTCAAAAAAAAAAAAGAACACCAGTTTAATTTTGGACAGAAAGTCCTGCTAAGGAGGACGTAAGCTGAGGTAAATGGGTCAAGAGGAGGAGGATTGTAGTATTTGACTGGGAGGAGGTAGAAGTTGCTGCTGGTCATATTCTACAACCCAGTTTAGAGACATTTTGGTCTCTAAAGTCCTTTACCTAAAAACACAAGGATTTAAGAAAGAATAGAATGGATTTGGAGGAACCCAATGTCTAAAGACTCCTGTCCCCCTCTCGCTGCACCTAAGGTATGTTTGATAAAACACAGATATATATATATATATATATATATATATATATATATATATATATATATATATATATATATATATATATATATATATATATGTTAACTATTGCTTTCTTTACATGCATTTCTTAATTTGTTATTATTATTAGTAGTAGTAATAATACAAAGATACAAAGAAGGCCATCTCCAGCTTCTACACTGTCAGAAGCTGTTGATAGTTTTCACTGTCTGTAAATTTGACCTTGTATCAGTTATGAATTGTTTCCTGGTGTTTCTTTTTATAAATAAGTCTTAAGTTTTAGAAAGAGAAAAAGGCAAGATTAGAAGATTGATTTCGGCATTTTTATGATTGCTTTTTAAAGTAGGAACCAATCTGATTTGTTTCCCCTTTAGTCAAATAAATGTATTTTTGTCCATTCAATCCAGACCTTCTACCATATTTTTGGCTACAATGATAAAGAGTTGAGAGAATCTCTAAATGCTGGGATTTTATGCGACAGATCACTGCAAAGTCGGTCATAATTGCATTTTGTTTCCAAGCTGTGATCTAAATAGTGTGTGATGCATTTTGTATTTAGTCTCCAGATAAATATTACAGTATGTTTTACAGCCAGAAGTTTCCTGGGGTATGTCTCCAGCTTTGTCAATTTACAAACGACATTTAAACCTTTTAGTGTAAAATAACTAATTCTGAAACAATTAATCTGATTAATCATGAATAATCAATTATTTAAATAATCTTCAACTAATTTAGTAATTGATTAATCGTTAACTGGAGTATAGAGACTCTAAAACATGCCTTTAGCTGACAGAGCAACCCACTTAGAGCAGTAATTATACCAAAATTGTGAAAAAGTATATAAACATTTTGCATTGAAGTTTAAAAATATGCTTTCATCTGTCCAGAGCTCCTCAAGTGGAAAAGTTTTAGTTTTACTTGGCTTAATTTCATAAAAAAAAATCTTCTTTAATGAACCTTTGGTTATCCGATTATTAATTGATCATCCCATTGTGGCTCTGCTTATATGTTTAATATCCTTGTCCTGCAGTAAATGGAAGCTTTGCACATTAGATTTCTTGCTTTGCAAAGGAATTGCATTAAGAAATACTACAATAAAAATATTTAAAAGTTTGTAACATGACAGTATGTGAAAAACAAAACAAACAAAGCTTAGGTTTGTGTATGTGTGTCATAGTTTGTTGTTTTCAATGCACCTAAATGTGGACTGGATATTAAAAGAGCATTATGGTGTTTGGAAGAAGCAAACTCACAGATTTGGCACAAAGAGAAGAGAACAGGAAACGATGGCGAGCATCACATAAGTACGTCTGCAAAACAAAACCAGAATAATGAGTACAGAGAAGTGAAACTTCTGAGTTTAATCAGAGGTAGGCAGAAGAACTGAAATACAATACAGAGCAGAAAAGTAAGAATAAAACACAGAGTGAGATGAACACAAACATCAATAGTGGAGGATTTTCGTGGTTTTTTTTTAAAGACCTGCCCTCCCCACAGAAAATGCACATGCACAACCCAGTACCCACTCCCGAGAGGGAGCGCCTATTAAACATGCGTGAGAGCGTGCACGAGCCCATTTCTCCTCGTGCACGCTCTGTTTTAAAGTTGCTGTTTGCATTGCTCATACAAGCTTACTTTCCAAAAGAAGATTTGCAATTTTTCCACTATGTCAGATTCACCACCTGTAGGTTAAAATGGGGATGAGCACGTACGAAGGCCTTACGTAAACATATCACCAGAAAGATTAAGAAATTAGGAGGACCACTAATTTTGACGATCCACCCAGAAAAAGAACATCCTGCACAATACCTCTAAATTAAAATCTAAATGAATATAAAGCAGAAATAATTTTGGCACAGAAACTGAACACAAAGGAATTAACTGACATGGCAACACCTAAGAGACAATAAGAAGCTTCCCTAAAATCCCAAATCCTGTTTCTATTATCTCTTCTGTAAAATAAAATTCAATTTTAGCTACAAATCCTATAATCCTTGGAACAACAATTACCTACAATGAAAAAGTTACTTTTTAGTGTTAACCTAAATGCTGGAGTTGTAGAGCAACTGCATATTGAATGAAAATGTCTTGATGAAAAATGAGAAGAAGTGATTTCTTTTTTACTTTTATGTTTCAAAGGACTTCTCATTCACAAACTGCAGATCTGTGAATGACATGATAACCATATAATCTGTGACGGATTGATGCCTCGTTGAGCCTTTTTGAAAAACATTTGAAAGTTATGAACAAATTCTAAATTGTTTATACCAATGTGCCAAACATACAGAATATTGCATTCCCTTTTAGAACCGTTTTTTATCTTGAAAATGTTCCTTGCTACACATTAGTGGAACATTTTAGAACTTCCTGCCTTTTAAATCAAACATGCTGTATCCGTCCCATTTCAGCTCAGTGGAGAAACTTTATATTTTTACGGCTGTGAGGATCAGGAGTGGTCTAACTCAAGCTCTGATGTGATTAAATTTGATCTAGTGCTTTTCTTTAAAATAACAGTTCAGACCACGTGCTTCACTTTGTCAAAAGTGTCATATCCTTTCGGAGAGCACGGGAAGATGGATTTTATCAACTCCCCACTATGAAAGGGCGATGTTTATAAAACAATCTGTTCTAGATTAAACTCTAAAAGGTCTTTACAGTGTTTCACAGCAATAAACCATCTGAAGAAGTCCTCATCAATTTAAGCAGAACTATCTGCATACATTTGCCTGCATATGAGGAGAGTTTTTGATACCAACAACATACAGGCAGGTATTACAAAGAGCTTACAAACACTACTGGAAATAATAGGAAAAAAGAGAACTAATTGATCTGGCGTGGAGTCATTGGGGATTTAGCATCCCTAAGTCCTGAGAAGGCACCGCCTGATTGCGACTAGCCGGTTATCAGGCACCCTAATGAGTGCTTAAGTTTCATCATAGGTTCAAGATAACTATAAGAGATAAAATTCAGAAAGCAAATCCAGAAGATAACATTGTAGGATTTTTAAAGATTTAATTTCTAAATTATGGTTAGAAAATAGGTATTTGATCACTTACAATAAAGGAAGATGCTTGGCCCTCACTGACTTTGATCTTTTTTATCTTTATGAAGCTCTTCTGTCCTCCACTCATTACCTGTATTAGGGACGCCTGAAAATGTTATCTGTATAAAAGACATTTGTCTGCAGCCTCAAACAGTCAGACTCCAAACCCAGCCATGGCAAAGACCAAAGATGGACACCAGGAAGAGAAGTTTAGACCTGCATTAGACTGGGAACAGTGAATCTACAGTAGGCAAGCAGGTTGGTGGGAAAAAATTATTGAGCCCCACCTAAGATCTCCTTCCTTGGCGTCAAAATAATCAAAACGGTCCCAGATCTGCACAGTCGTACCTGATGAATTACGTCTTAGAGCTGGGACCAAAGTAACAGAGGCTACTATCAGTAACACACTGCATCAAGATGGACTCAGATCCTGCAGTGCACCCCACCACCACCCCCCACCCCCCAAGCCAGTACACATCAAGGTCTAGGTCTGAAGTTTGCCAGAGAACATAGGGATGATCCAGAAGAGGATTGTGAGAAAATCACATGGTCACATAAAACCAAAATAGAGCCTTTAGTCACAAACTCAACTTGTTATGTTTGGAGGAAGAAGAATGCAAGTTACTTCCAAATAATACCATAACTACTGTGCGGCTTGGAGGTGGAAGCATGATGCCGTGGGGCTATTTTTTTTGCAAATGGGGCAGGATGACTGACCTGGGTTATGAGAAGAAAAATTGGGGCCATATATTGTGAGATTTTTAGCTCAAACCTCCTTCCATCAGTGAGAGCCTTAAAAATGGAAGGTGGCTGGGTCTTTCAGCAGGACAATAATCCTAAACCCACTGCTAAGCCAATGAAGGATTGGCTCTTGAAAAAGTATTTCTATCTTTCTCAAGTGTCCTAGCAGGTCTCAAAACCTCAGCCCCACAGAAATCTTATGAAGGGGGCTGAAAGTCCTTGTTGCCCAGCAACAGCCACGAAACATCACTGGTCTAGAAGAGATCTGATGGAGGAATGGGCCAAAATAGCAGCAAACCTTGCGAAGACTGACATTAAGACCTGACCTCTAGTGCTACAAACTACAGAGCTACCCTTTTGTTATTTTCAACCATTATTTATAAATACATTTATAAATAATCCTACGATGAGATTTCCTGGATTTTTTTTCACAGTTTTTCTCTCTTAGTTGGAGTGTCTATGATGAAAAATGATCTCTCTAAGTTAGATAACATGTGCAATCAGTGGCTGAATAAATAATGTTTTGCTCCACTGGCTATAATTAGTTTAACAGTGAAATTTATTTACTGTGTAACTATATTTTATTTATATTGCAAAGCACAGCTCTTTTATTGGTAAACTCTTGCATGGATCTGTTTCGAATGCATTCATGTCACATTCTGATCTGCTGTCAATGGAAGTGCAGGTCTGCATTAGTTAAAGACTCATAGATAAATACCTGGAAAATGAACTGGGGTCATATTCATTTATTAATATGAATAAGGTTGTATTTTGTAGAATAAATGGGGATATTTGAGGAATTTTTTTTTGAAAACCATCTCATTTGACATGCCTTTATTTCTATCCTCTCAGTTGATCATCTTTTCGATGCGATGGAGCTCCTTCTCCCTAACATTAGCTCCACCAGGAGCACCAGGGACCCTCTGCATCCCCCCACTGCATCCCAAACTAACTGTAGCATCTTGGATCCACAGTGGGGAGCGCTTTATCTGCACAAGACAGCACACCTGGATCTACAGCTGTACCAGGACTTCTACCCCTTCTGGGTCTTTCTGATGGTGAGATTGAAAATAAAAAACATGAATCTGTCATCTGTTACTTTCTGATGTCTTTACATTCAGATTTGAATCCAATGCAGCACATCAAACCTCAAAGCTGGATGCTTTTCCTCCTTGCTGCAGGTCTCTAACTGTGTGATGCTGGTGGTTGGTGTCCTCCTCAACAGTCTCGCTCTGTATGTATTTTGCGGGACCTCGACTCGTTCCTCGGCTTCTGTGGTTTACACCATGAACCTGGCTGTCGCTGACCTGCTGGTGGCGCTGTCCCTGCCCGCCCGCATCGCACTGTACCACAGTGGTGGCAGCTGTGTGGCCTGCTCCTACGTCCACACCTTCAGCTACTTTGTCAACATGTACTGCAGCATCTTGTTTTTGACCAGGTGCAGGACTTTTTCCCAACAACTTGGGGGGCTTATCTATGGATTAGGGCCACTAAAAAAAATGTTTAATAAAAAGGTTAACTGATTTTTAAATAATATTTCAGTTTTATATAGGAAAAGTCAGAATTCTTTTTTTCTCAGAATTCTGACTTTAATCTCAGAATTCTGACTTTTTTTTCCTAAGAATTCTGACGTTTTTCTCTGAATTCCGACTTTAGTCTCAGAATTTTTTACCTTAATGTAGATGGGCACCATGAAGGAAGAGATGTAGGAGCACTCAGCTTCACTGACAAATATATGAGTTGTTTGACAGGGCCAGTAACACATTGGTGGAAAATTACGGAATTAGGTGACTTTTTACGTGCCCGAGGGGTCCCTGGTGATGCTATTTCATTAATGAAGGAGCAGAAGGTGATTAAAACAAGAGAGCTAGTTTATTCTCTAAAACAGACATGGCTACAGCTTGATGCTAACATGTTTTTTAGCTGTCAGAATTCAGTCAGAATTCTGAGATTAAAGTCAAAATTCTGAGAAAAATGTCAGAATTCTGAGAAAAAATTCAGAATTCTGAGATTAGACTCAGAATTATAAGAAAAAAGTCAGAATTGTGAGAAAAATGTCATAATTCTGAGAAACAATTCAGAATTGTGAGATTAAAGTCAGAATTGTGAGAAAAAAGTCAGAATTGTGAGATTAAAGTCAGAATTCTAAGAAAAAAGTCAGAATTCTTAAATTAAAGTCAGAATTCTGAGGCACAAAAAGGCATATTATACTGAAATAAAATTTAAAAATCAGTTAACCTTTTTTTTCCATAGTGGCCCTAATACTCTTCCATACAACCGTTAGTTTCACAACAATGGGGAAAAATACAAATTTAAAGAGCTCATGAAATATAGACTTAGACAGATTTTATTTTGTGATTTTGTACACAAGTGTAAACAAAAACAAAATCAAATTTCGTTAAGTGCAGCTCTCTAGACTATTTCATTTTTTAAAGTGCAGCCTTGATAAAGGTAAGCAGCAGTATAGCCTTGAATTCCTCTTCTCTAACAAAATTTATTTTAAAAAAAATCTTTGCGGCTTTTAAGTCAATGTGGAATAACCTAACTGTATATTTACAGCAGCATTTTGCACAGCTACTCAGTTTAACAATTTTTCTTTGGATATCTGTGTTTTGGGTGCCTTAGCATCCCCTTGTGGTGATCAAAGAGTACTGCAGCGCGAACTATATAAATCAGGGCTCTTCAACGTTTTCCAGGCCAAGGACCCCAAACTCTTATGGCGAGATGGAGTGGGGTCCCCCTAATTATATATATTGTTTGAAATTGTGTTATATAAAAATGGTCCTGTAGTCACTCTATTACAGATGGAGTCATGTATTGACAGTAATTCTGCCCTGAGATTATTAAAGTATTCCTAATTATGATTCCTTGTTGATGGGACAGGTGGAGGGAAACGGTGGCCAGCTTGAAAGAGCTCCTGTGTGTCGCTGAATGTATGCATTGATGACTGAAAGACATCTTCTGCCTCCATCTATCTGTTTACTACAGTGTGTTGAATTCATGTTAATGTGGATTTAAACACATTTCAATTAGTGGGAAAAATTGCAGGGGGGAATATAAAATACGTCTAATAAACCAAAACTTTTGCAACCACAGAAAGGGTCGCGGATCCCCTGTTTAAGACCTCTGATATAAATCATTATGACATCAACAAAAAGGCCGGAGCTAAAGGGGAGGGCATGGGGGCACGCCCCTTAAAATCTGATCTTCACCCCCTGGATAGTTTTTGTGTTACAGAACCAGGGCCCTCCTATACACTAGTGGTCAGGTTTGTTGTTGTTTGGGGGAAGCCTAGTGATGGTCAACAGCAACTGATTTTGAGTGATAAATTGTCTTCTAATGTCCAGTCGGAAGCTACATTTTGGTCATTTATATTTTTCCAAAATAATTTGGCAAACACCGTGAATCATCTTGTGAGCTCAACTGGGGTCAGAACCAGAAATTTGAAAATGGCTGCTGTAGATTACCTGGCTGGTACTATGCACAGTTGGAGAGAGTGCAAATAAAAATTAACTCAAGTAAAAGTAAAAAGTACTTAAGGAACACTTCCTTTTAACTAAAAGCTACTTAGTTTCTGTTTTTGTAAGCAGAAAATAAACCTTCTGTTTCGTTTCACAAAGGAAAAGAGGAGATATTGGCTTTAAACTGTTATCAATAACAAAATAAAATGTTTCACAGAAAACATTTAACTGATTTTGCATCAAAAATGGTTATTCTGTTTTGGTAAATGGCCTATACTTGTATAGCTCTTTATATTGCTTCTGTTTTCAAAACATTCAATAACTGCTTCATAAACACGTTTCTACACTGACATATGTTTTAATTTTGGTTAAATTGTTTATAACTGACTAATTAAATGCACAAAACCTATATCGTTTGTGCCTAACATTTACTTAAATACATCTAATATTTAGAAACAATGGCGGCTCTACACAAAATGTAATAGGGTGTCTAAGATGGGGTCAGTGATTTTTTATTAAATTTTTTTGCCATGGGGACAACGAATAAAAGAATAACACACACACACACACAAAAGAACAGAGCAAGAGCTGATTTTTTTAAAATTAATTAAGTGAGCCACAAACCTTTAATTTTTAAATAATTTCCAACATGTTATAATAAAATGGTATGAGAAAAATCAGGTACAGCCTCTTCTGTCAGTACCTACCATCATAAGAAAAGGTTTTAGTATTACACTTTAAAAAACACTGCTCTAAAAAAGTAAACATTTCTTAAAATCGGTGTATTTGCCATAAACTTAAGCAGATAAATAAGATGATCTAGTACCAAAAAAAAAGAAAGATATTGGCCCTCAAAACCAAGTAATTACATTTATACTTACATATTACTAATTACATATCTGAAATTGTTTTTTTATTTTTAACCCAAACATTTTTTTTTTTTCCAAAAAATACATTCATAAACAAAGGTGAAGGTTCATGTATAGTAATGACTTTTAAGGTGTTTGGCAATCATACTCTGATTAGCAATAATCTTCTAAACTACCTAGATTACCTTTTGCTTGCCGTAATCTAGGTAGTTTTAGGTAAACATTATTACATTTTTGTGTAAGCTAAATATGTACTAGAAGATTATTGATATTATCAATGTGAAGAATATAGATACCATTATGTATAATTACGGTAGGTCAAATGTTTCTTGCAATAAAAACAAAAAAGTTATAGCCAATCAAAAAAAAAACAACCATAAGGTATTCAATGAAAACAATCCATGGGTTAACTTGAGAAGTGATTGAATTATAATAAAATGTCGGTCAAACTAATTGAGTGTGATTTTTGTTTTTTTCAGTATCTGTGTTGACCGCTATCTTGCTGTCGTCCACGCTGCCAGCACTCTGCATCGATGGAGGACAACTGGAGCAGCCAAGGGTGTCAGCGCCGCTGTGTGGTCCGTTGCAGTTGTGGTCACCTACTCCTTTCAGGTGAAGCTTCACAGAAACGATCAGCAGCTTCACCTGTCACGCTGGAACACATAAGAAAAAAATAGGCAGAATAGACGATTTTCTACAGCAGGTTAAATGCCTCACAGACATATTATCTATATCTCTGTATGGCACATGTACACCTGCTGTAAACATGATAACTGTTATTAAATATTCTGCATTTAAATTTTACTGCCTATTTTTATTTTTATCACAAACACTGATTCTAATAGTTTTTATGAAGCAAATGTTAAAAACTAAAATGTAAAAAAGGAGCCTTTAAAGAATCAAGCTAAGTTCTACAAGTCATTTTATCACATACATCAAGTTCAATATTCATTCAACATTAAAAAACCAATGCATTCCAATATGTTTAAATAGCTGCTAATAGTACTGTGTAAGCAAAACCAAAATAACTATAACTGATAAAAGCTGTCAGAGTAACTAAAAACTGCCGCACCCTATCACCGCCGCTTCCTTCAGGGCTGCAGCTCAAATAAATTCAATCTAAAAGCAGCCATTTCTAAGCTGTGTTGCTTTTAAAAGACAAACAGATCAAGTTCACAGCAAAGCTTCATTTGACCCTGGAAAAAAATACCTCAACATGAGTAACCTTCTTTTACAAGAAGAAAGACTGAAAAAATCCAACCAAATTATTTTTTTCTCAGCTTTTATTGTCATTACACTGTCACAAGTACAGAGCAATGAAATGAATGCTCTGCTGTTAAACGATCCCCTTGAGGAGCAGTGGGCTACCATTGTGCGGCACCTGGGGAACCGTGTGGGGTTAGGGGTCTTTTTGCTCAGTGAACCAGAGTGGCAGTCTGTGGGAGTGGGGCTCGAACTCAGACCTCAAAGCTCTATGCCCTAACCACTACGCTGCTACTCCTCCTTTTACTAAATACTTTTATGTGAGAGTAAAAAAACAAAAAATCTATTTTGCAACATTTATCAGTACATAAAAAAAAAAGAAAGGTTGGACTAAAGTATTTCTGTAATGTTTTCTTTAGAAACATTTGGAATTTGTTAGATGGCTTCTATGTGCAGATTTTGCATGAGAGTACTTATCCCCAGTGTTAGGTAAAGTGGAGGAACTATGATGCTGTGGGCCTCTATCTCTTCAATCTCTAGAAATCCACCTTTATAGAATTTGAAAGATTTTAAATTAAAAGCTGATTGTGGTCCAGTAGCTTTCTTCCAGGCTGTCAGTTCCCACGCCTGAATGTTGTTGAAGCTGGCATTTTGTCACATACTTTAAGGATATTGCAAACTTGGATTCTACAATGGATGCCATGAGGCTAGAATACAGGCAATAATAATTAACTTATATAACAAAAGGGCTGAATCTCTGTTTCCTCTCTCATGCAGACCACGGCGTTGAATTTCAGCTCATCTTGTATGAACCTCCCTACGCACTTCTACCTCACTGTTCTTGAGTTTCTCCTCCCCATGCTGGCTGTGGTGGGATTTACTCTCCGCGTCGCCTGTTTCCTCTCCTCCAGCCATGGACTGATGCCTCAGCGCAGCAGAGCCAGGAGGACTCGTGCCGTTAGGCTTCTGGCCACCGTCCTGGTGGTTTTCACCATTTGCTTTACTCCGTTCCACCTCCGTCAAGTCCTGGTCTACTTCCAGGTAAAGCCCACAGGAGACGGTGATGGGCAACTTGGGGCAGGACACGTGCTGGCCTATCACATCACAGTGAGCCTGAGCAGCCTCAACAGCTGCCTGGATCCTGTGGTGTACTGCTTTGTGACAGACAGCTTCAGAAGGATGTGGAGGATGAGGAGGAGGATGAGGAGAGGAAGAGATGAGGAGGTCAAAGTTTCAAGCGGCATAGAGGGAGAGCAGACTTCAGTCAAGAAATGTTCGGGCACAGCCCTTGCGATAGCTCAGAGCGTGGCTACGCTGACCCTCAGCCGCACGCTGATCACTGCAGTCAACATGGACCAATCAGCTTAGAGTGGAGATCTACAAGATGGAACATCCCTGAGAGGACATGGCTGCACCATGACTACACATTCTCATCCTCATTCACCACTGAACGGTGCTGCAGGATTATACTAGTAACATTTCTCTAGTAAACATCAGATCCAGTTAGAAATAAGCTCACCACACTGGAATGTTAGAAATGGGGCCTTCTAACAGCAGCTATGATGTTTGGTGTTAAGAGCGGATCTAAAAATAAAAAATGAATTAGAAATATTTAGAGCTGCTTTAAATATCTTAACAGAGCTCTAAACAGGAGGTAGAGAAATCGGGCGTCAAAGTCATGAAAATAATTAATCTTTTATTGCAACAGCAAATAAAACAGGTATCTAGAAAAATCAGAAATGCTGACTAAAACAATCATTTAGAAAAAGATGCAACATATAAAAATATTTAAATCTAAAAAAAAAACAAAAACATATTGACTTATATTTCTTTTTTTTGACATTTGCTGTTATATAATGTTTCAAAGCGATACCAGGACATTTTATTTTGCTTTTAATAGTTAAACCTTTAGTGAAATGTACAATGACTCAGTTTTTGCTTTGTGTATGTTTTGATTTTTGTTCAAGTTAATGTCTCTATCCTGGGTTTATACCTAATCACTATTTACTGACTCATAAGTACTGTTAAATTTGATTCATCAAATGGTTAATAATAGTTGTGTTCATTTTATTGGTTGAAGAGGGTCAATGAGCATTAAAAAGAGTTTTGAGGAACCAAGATTTGAATGTGACCTAATTCAGCTAAGGTTTTTCTCCTTTTTTGTTTTGTTGTTGTCACGTTGTCATTTTTTTTTTTACCTTTGCCAAATGGAACAGGCTAAAAGATCAACACAAATAACAAATAATACCCTAAGATGTTTCCCTGTATTACCCTGTGGATCTGCCTCTCACCTTCTAATTAATTTAAATAATTTTACAATTAATTTTTAATCATTTTACATGAATTTTATTTCTTAACCATAATGTTTTTATGTAATTGGTATTGTAATTTAATCTTGTGATTTTATACTTGTGTTTATTTTTAAGGTTGCCTTTTTAATATCTGGCTGGGGGACTACCGATGAAAATTAGCACTCCTTAGCTAACTTGGGTATATTTACATTTTTAAAATGTTTATTAATGTTCACTGTCCCCTTTCAAATAAACAATAAATGAAATAAAATGAAATTAATAGATAGATAGATAGATAGATAGATAGATAGATAGATAGATAGATAGATAGATAGATAGATAGATAGATAGATAGATAGATGTAAAAAAAAATGTGTAAAAAAAATGTGTAAAAAATGAAATGGAATATTTCAAATGTCAATTAGAAATAAAAGTGCTTTCCTAGAGTTTGTTTTCTATGATATCAGGATGCTCTAAATGTGTGCATCGGTTCATCTCTCTCTCTCAACTTGACACAGTTACCATCAGCAGTGTCACATGAGTCTGGGTCAGACACTCAAACATCCAAAACATGAGTTTCAGGTTCCCTCTCTGGTTTCTGCGTACAGAAACATCCAAAGGGATCAGCAGCTGTGTGCGGGACCTGAATCTGCAAAACCAGCTTTTCTCTCCTTTCTGCTTCTCTTTTAGCATCCTTATCGTAAACTGCTTAAAAGATGTTGAGTTGACAAATTTAGCCAGTAAGAGATAAATTACCCATCAAATAATTTAACACCTGAGATATATTATGTTTTATTCTATTTTTTAAACCTAAAATCTGTAGTCCAAACACTTTTGAGGAGTTATAGCTGTTTTTATTTCTTTTTATATTTGTATTTTTCATTATAGAATGCTTACTGTTGGGTTTTTTTTTTTAGGTAGACAATTGTAAGATCTGTCCAGGTACAACAGATGAAAAAATGTCTTTTGGCTAATTCTGGTGCATTTGCAGGAATGCTTATTAATGTATGGTGTCCCTGTCAAATAAATAAATAAATTACAATAAACTACAAATAATTTTCCTCAAAATTCTGCCCAAAATACCCGAATATGACAATTTGAAAGAAAAAGCTTTCTTGAGATTGTTGTACATTTTAAGCTAACAATATACACCTCAAGGATAACGAGTGGGAAGAAAGCTTCATGGTACAGGACGTGCAAACTTTCAGGATGCAAAGGTTTGAAAGAGTTGAAATGACACTATAAATATGAAACTTTAAATGTGCAATATTTGTTTTGGTCTTAAAATCAGTGTTTTTTTTATGCCAAGAGCAGTATATCTTTGCACATGATTGTTCAGTTCTGTTAGTTTCTGTTTTTCAAAGTTTGCAGCTGGAGATTGGGAAGTATGGGGAAAACCTTTCATGTGCAAGATAGATGGTTAAAAATCTGCTTACATGTCAACTTTTTTTTTTTAATCATCATGCAACTTCAATTCAACTTGGTAAATTTTTCCACTTCTCCATATTTTGTTTTTTTTTTCTCCCCACTTATTGTTTGTTTCTGTTCTCTTTCGTAGCTGATCTGGTAAATACTGGAATATGCTTGTATGTAGGATCAAGGTTCTCCGTATCATGTATTCAGTGCAACAAATTTCTAATTTAACTTTCTGATTATTTAATCCCCCTAAAAAAAGAGTGTAAATATGGATCAAACGTTTACATTTACCTTTTGTCAGATAAGACAGATTGCTATCCACAGCCTTGACCTTCTATAAACTATGACCAGTGGTGGTTCTAGACCAAATGTACCAGGGGGCAAGGAGGGGGGCAGCATGTTTTCATGGGGCCACAGAAAAGCATGAAATAAAAAACAGGGCAAGGGATTCAAATATATTAAGATAGCTGCATGAAGTGAAATTTCTACTCAATTACCGTATGTTTAATTCAAATTCTATTTCTTATGAGGTCAATATACAATCATAATTTAGGAATTTCACATATTTTTACATAATTTAAGTTAAAATGACCCTTTTCTATAAAATCAGAATTATACCTCAAGAAAAATTGATAAATTCAGCTGTAAAAATGTGTTCATTTTTTTTTTTTCCTTTGTTTTGAAAAAAAAAATTTAGCACATGAAAACCGGGATCCTATCTCAATCCCACTGAAGCTATCACCTTATTGTTTTTAAATAATTAGTAAAACATAATTTGTAAAGAAAAAAAATGAAACAAATCCAAAGGACCTATCAGTAACCATGTCTGTTCCAGCGCATCATCATTACAACTTCTTTTAAGTATTATTTCTTCAGTACAGGGGCCAGGACATGATTTACAGGGGCACTGGCCACCGTTAGCCCCTGTCTAGAACCACCCATGACTCTGACAGCATTTTTTTCTTTATGTCTAAATTTACTAATCAGTAAAATAATAAGGTAAATTGTTGTTACATTGCTCTGGTGAATAATGAATAATAGTATAAGTTTGAAGCATGAATTGATATTTTTTTTACAGCTACATGTACAGTATCTTGTACATAGACAAGTAAAGGTCCAGCTTTAAAGGAAACCAAAGCTCAGCCTTGGCTGAATGACACCACCTGCACACCTTGCTGAGAGGAAGACATCTTTTCACCATCAGACCTTTAAATACCTCCTTAAATATCTTCTGGTTTCATGTCTTATAGAAAGCACCTCACAACATTGCTCACAGTATCTCACACTTTTTAGATGTTCCCTAACCATACAGCTGCATTCAAAGACTTTGTTGTATAACCCATTATTTAAGAGTAATATTGATCAAATATTTTTTTGTCAGCCTACCTCTAAACCGCCTATTATGTAAAAATGGAATATATCACCCACTGTTGGGGATATTTACAGGAGTCCTTGTATGTTAAGGCCTGCTGTAGCACTGAAACAGCACCTTTGGCAGTTTTAACGGCCTTTAAAATGTTGACTCAGCCCACCTGTATTGTTCAAACTCTTAGATCTTTCTGCAACATTTGACATAGTAAATCAAAATGTTCTTTTGTCTGCAGTTTGACACCTTGGTGTAACAGTTACCATTATGGCCAGCTTTGAATCTCGTATGTCTTTCTGTGTTTCTATAAAAACAAAGAAAAATATTATTTTGCTCTGCTTTTTTAGTTGTTCGTAATTTTAATATTCTTTCTTATGTTATTGCACATTAAATTGAAATTCCACACATATTTCAACCAAAATATGTTTTGGCTGGATCTTGGGTCCTTTGCGATTGATATTGAGGAGGTGCATCTATTTGTATTGCTTTTGTTAATGAAGTTTTCATATTAACATTGGTAAGAGGAAATTTTATGTAAGTTGTGAACAAAAGTAATACAACACTAAAGGGGGAGGGGTAAAATATGAAAAAGATGAGAAGTCAATGATTGTTTACTTCTTAATAGCTTTTAAAGGTGCTTTCCATACAGTGTTCATCCAGAGTCCTTCTTTATGAAGGCTCAAGCATATTTATACAGAAATATACAGGCTTTATATAGAAAACAGAACTACTAACAAAAATAATCATCTTTTTCATAGCAGCAAAAAAGAAGAAACTAAAAGAGAAATATGTATATTTACATCTTTTCAATGAACAAGGCATATTATATATATATTTTATAGTACACGGTGTATAACTTCTTTCCCATTCTTTACATATTTACCTATTAAAATCCAACTCTCTCTGATTTTATATATATATATATATATATATATATATATATATATATATATATATCACCATTACCAAACAAAAACACTTGAGGCACAGCCACACTCTGCGTTTTGACAGGTTGGACGAGCTATGACTGTTCACACTGGACGCAAACAGTTTCGCAGAGTCTCCACATTCATGCAGCCATCACCAAAACCAACATGGCGGCCACAAAAAAAGTGCAAAAGCTAGACTTCTGAGTGGCTCAGCCTGAAACATTAAAGAATAAGTACAAAAAATTTCTACACCAGAACAGAGACTCGTCTATTTCAGTATTGCAGCTGACATTTTCAGAGTTAAGTGTAAACCAGGCGATCGAGAAACAAAAGAACAAGAACTAAAAAAACGAACACTGAGATGACAGATTATAAAGCCTGTCCTTTGCTTAAAACGTGAACAGCACACCCTGACATGGATGCACACGGTCCAGTTTATTTCTGTAACATCTCCCATGACAAGAAATGAAATAGCTTTACTTTTGTCAAAGTGAAAAGTGTTGTTTACAGACATAAAGTTCAAAAAAATAAATATCAACAGTTAGTTCTGTCGTCTGCAACGTAGCTCCACTACACTGTGTTGCTTTTATTTATTTATTTCACTTCTCATGTGCAAGTTCTGAGCAACCTGGCTAGTTAAACATCCAAAACAAGAATTTCAGCTGATATCAGCCAACATTCATTTTTAAGTCACAAGATGGAATCAAAGGTTAAGAACTCAATCTCCCAGCAGGCCAATGGAAGGACCGTGCTGTCTGAACATTCATCTAAAAGGCAGAAAAACCCCTTCTTAAACTTTCTTGCTACATTGGAGCAGAAACACTGAACTTGCACTTCAAGTTTTTGCGTCTCATCAGAAAAAAGGAGCTTCATGTTAAAGGTCAACCCACATCTATGAACATCCCAGCTATTAAAAAAAAATATGACAAATGCCACCTGCTGCTTGTGTAAATCTGAAGGAGAAAAAAAAGTTGCATGCTTTGTTTGAGCAAGCAACTTTTTGTTTAAAAAAAAAGGAGACACTAACATCAAACCATGCATTTAAATAGGCTCATGACCTGTTGGGACTACAAAGGAAAAAATAGCTTGTGCGATTTGTACAGAGTCTTACTTTGGTGTTCTACACGTGCAAATTGCTGCTGCAGCATGCAAAGCTCCAGAACCCTGCTGTAGTTGTGTGTCCATGCGTTAAATCGAAATATATATTGCTCTCATGTTAAACGATTCAATCCATAAAGCACATCCGGTCATCTCTCATTGTCCTACATCTCTTTTTCTTTGTCTCAAGAAGCGAAAAACACATCTCTGCCCAGACTTGCTAAATTTACAGATCCTTGCAAAAGGTTTCATACCTTCTCAGCTTTTCCAGTGCAAACAATTGCATCCATGATAAAGTGAAGCTTGATGGAGTTAAATAAACTTTCTTTTCCAACCTGAAAATCACACACAGTTCCAGCAGGATGACTCCAAAGATACAGCCAGAGTTAAATAAATGGGAGTCGGAGGATATAACGGGACAGGCTGCGAAAATAAAAGGTTAAAGAAGGGTGAATACTTTTGCAAGGTATTGTCTATTAAATTTAAAGTACCTGTAAATACAGAAGGTATCTAATCTAATGTTGAACAGGTTGAAGTGGTCATTTCTTATTTTACTTTTTTAATCAACCAATATGTCTTAATTGTTTTACTCTAAACCTACAGAAATTTCCGCTTCCAATGTAACTCAATCTCTCCTTCCAACTCTCAGTGGCCTAAAACGATGCTCTTTTCTCCAACAGACATCAACGCAAAATGCCTCAATTAGAAAGCAAAGACTGTTTCCACTCATCCAATTTGGCCCATTCATGATAAATAAATGCAAAACTTGACCAGAACACAGTGTTAGTTTGCATTTCTCTGGTCTCCATTCTGCTGTTTGCCTCCTAAACCTATGGAAAGTGATTTTAAATAAACACTTTTGTTCTTTCTGAACTAGTTAATAAACTGTAGATGTCTCCGCAAAGTTTGCTGACATGCTTACAGCATAAAGGAAAATAAAAAAATTGGTTTGCTTGTCTACTTGTTAACCTATTTGTAGCCTTGCTGTGATAAATTTAATTATTCCCAGTTTTCAGTAGAATAATATGTAATGCCCTGTAAACAGCATACCTTGCATCTTCTTTTTTTTTTGTAGAATTTTACCCAATAAACATGTTTGTTTTTTTCTGAACAGGTAATATGACTGAACAAGATAGCTCTCATGCAATAAACAGAGAAAGACAAAAACAGCATTTCTGTAATGAGGAAGAGAGCAAAAGCTAAACATCTGCAATCAACTTGGGGCAGAGACTGATAAATAATCCCCAGGAACCAGGCTTTGAGCTCAGAGGATCAGAAACACCTCCTCCAAAAGTCTTTAGAGTCTTAAAGCTACTGTTGCAGAGCGCAGTGAAAGTCCCGCAAAGCTGAGTGCGATGTTTTGGTGAACGCAACGCCTCCGCTGGAGACAAACACAGCATCAGCTTCAGCATTTCGAAGCAAAAGTTTGATCAAGTTGACTCCAGGCTGAGGAAGAACAATTTTCAGCATTTTTTTTTTTTTTTTTATGATTGCAGCTTCATGGACTTATGTTCATCAGCAGTGTTCTGGGTTAAAGTGTCCGTTTGACCCCAGGTGAAGAGGTGTTAGAGTTCGTGTTAAAGTGTCCTTATGTTTTCTTTGCAGCCTGCTGCTCTGAGGCCTTAGAGACCCAAACAGCCACATCATAAACAGACCAGCATGATGCTCCTTCCTGGATGACTCGGATGCATCTGCAGATGGATCTGAAGCACTGGGAGCAGCTGATCTGAAGTAGCATAGGTCTTCACAGCAGATTGAACTAATAGTGTCAGAAAAACCCTTTTAAAGCAAAACCCCTAAAATGGTCCAAGATGGAGGCACATTAAAGTCTCTTCTGATGATTCGCTTTCGACAAAATCAATGTAGTTGTTGTTTGCAGGCCAATCAGAGGGCAGACTCGTTCTCCGTCTGACAGGAAGTGGTGGTGGTGGCTGCTTTTCCCGCTTTGTTGAGCTTCAGGAAGCTAGGTTTCTCTATCACCACGCTAACGGGGCAGTCGTTGCTGCTCGGGTTTTCCAGCGTTGTCAGGGCCTGTTTCTCTGAAGCTTTGGTAGAATCTGCCTCCCTGAAAAACACATTAACATCTGGTTAAGATTGTAGGATTGAATGGAAATGATCCTGTTTAGTCTCTGGATGAAACCAGCGTCCAAAATAAGCCTTAGAGGTGTTGCTAGGTAGATTTCAAGTCCTTTCATTTTAAGCCCTTACCTGCATTCTCTATTTTTACCCCCATAGGTCTGAAGGGCAAGCTTAGTCATACTGGACATTAAACACATTCATAGGATCATATTCATATCATAGTCACATTATGGCCCTGTCCCAATTCTATCACTAAGACTTGGTTTTTCGCGTTCACCTGTAAGGGTATTGTGTCGCTATAATTTTAAGAGCTAGGGGGAAGTGCCCTTCAAGCCTTAAAATGATCCCTTCAGGCTGAGGGTGGTCATGAACGGTTGTGACTCACACTGTGTTTACACAAGACATAGGTGAACACGTCACTGATTTTTTATAGGTAATGTATTACTGCCACCTACTGGGCTGGGGTGTCATTTTGCACCTAGTAGTGTCCAATATCTTAGGGACTTCACTTGCACTTCCCTCATTGAGTGTACTTTACTTTCTAGGGAACTCAATGGAGTATTGTTAGAGCCAAGAAAGAGGAATTGGACTGGGAGTATTATTGTCATTACTGATTCCACTGAGCTTTATTTTTACCAGAACCAAAAGGTTTGTTTTAAGTTGCACTATGACCCAACATTCAACAAGCCTCAAACTCAACTCTGATTTACTTTTCAACTTTTCTTGACAGAACTGGTTGAATTTTTTTTAAACCAATCGGCTTTAAATAATAGATTACACTTTTGAACATAGTCAAGTTTGGGATTCATGAAGGATATTCCAGGATGTTTGCTTCAGCAAGTTTTAACTATTCCAAACTTTGTTGTGTCAAAGTTGAATCTACATTTATTAATATTGGTTAAATTTCATTTTTGTCCAATATTTTTTTCAACTCATAATTTGTTAAAAAAAAAATTGGCTGTGCTTGCATTTTCTCTAGTGAATATGTTTCTCATGACACACAAAAAAAATCCTATCAGGTCTAGGTTATTCATAACAAGCAAGAAAAAGAGTAAGAATAGCACCGGATTTTTTAAATAAAACCATACTGTTAAATCCAAAAAAGTTAAACAACAGTCCACTGAACTTAGTTTCCAAGTTAGAAGATATTTCGCTTCCCATACAGGAAGCTTTTCCACTCAAAATGTCAGGAATAGCGTTGAGTTGGAGGCTTTATACAGTAGCCCAACATAGCCTTGTTTTTGTTTTGAAAACATGTAAATTGAAACGGACGAACGGGTCCACCCTTTTGAATTAGGGTCATTTGGCTTCTTTTGTTAGCCCGCAATGCCCAATACCTGTCTATGTCTCTGAAAGGGGTGTCGTTAAAAAGAATTGTTGGCTTGGCTGAATAGGTGGGATCTTCTGTTCCCCTGTAAAGGGGTTGGGGTTGTGATGATAGCTGGAAGGGATTAACTCAATTGCTGCATAGTAGATTTTTGAAAGCTGAAGTCGGAGTCCACCCCGTCTGTTTAAGGTTGTTTTTTCTTTCTTCACACATATGGCTTCCTTAATGCCCCTCTCAAACCACCAATTTTCTTTGTCCAAAATGTGAACATTCTGGCAGTCAAAAGAATTACTTTTGCCCATAAGGTATAGACGTACCGCAGAGTGTTAATTGTTACAATATACAACTGGATGTGAAAGGGTGTGTATACTTTGCATCATGGCTTCTTCATCTCCTACTTCACTAAGGATCTATTGGTTGGACTAATGATAATAAATTAGTTTTAGCCCGAGTTATACATGAAATGCTCAATTAGTCTGGCCAAACTGCCTTGTTTAAAGACTTCCAGGCAAAAAATAGATACTTTTTACATTTAAAAGGCTTAACTAAAGCCATAGTAATTCCTTTAATAGCCCCTAACTGGAAAACCAACAAAATACACGTTTATTTAAAAAGATAGATTTTTTTAGAAAAGAAAAGCAAAAAGATTTTTGCGCATTTACAGTCCTGTAAATATTTTTTTTAATCATTACTTATTCTGTGAATAATTTACCATCTACTGTTAAGAAAACAAAGGGGATATAGCTCACTTTTTCTTTGAAAACACTTTAATAATTTAGCTAGAATGACTGAATGAGAGCACCCTATAGCTAGGTCTAGGTGGTCCATTTTACTAATGGAAAATGTTTTCACATCAAGTTTGTACCACTTCTGTAGTGCAGGATGGACATCAGACACTCCTGAACTGATAGGAAAAGAAGTATTTTTCTCACCCATTGTTTGGTGTTGGGTAAATGACAAGGAAGCAGGCAGTGAAGAACCCGAGAAGAGAGCCCCCAGAGGCCACCATGGGAATGACTCTCACACTGCCAACAGCTTCCACCACAGCACCGAGAGCGGAGGCCACCAAGATCTGACTGATGTAGACCTGCAGAAATCACATCGTTCCATCGTTATACCAAAAAATTTATGAAAAGTCATCTGATGCTGTAGGTTCAGCGGTACGACTAGCACCTTGGAAAATAACTGATTCCATATGGTAGGAGTTAGAACAAAGACTACCAAAAAGTCTCCATAATAACTTATTTAAGGCTTTAGCAGCTTCAGCAGGTGAGCCAATAGGAGAGGCATCTGACAAATTTGCTTTTTTGCACTTCAGCACCAACACCCATCTGGGTCTGGGTGTTTACTCTGAACTAATTAGTGTTTTGCAACCTAAGGTTTAGCTTCAACCTCCTGGTAAGTTAAATACAGTGTTTAATGGAGTATGAACACCCACCTGACAGGACAAGATGGCGCAGTCAATCCCAAAGCCTCGGCGGGAGTTACCAGGACTGTGCTTGATGTACTGTGGGAAGGTGAAAGTATTGACCGTCATTGTTCCTGAATAGCAACTGAGTCAAACAATCTGGAGCTAAACGTCTCAAATTAACAGACAGAAATATGCAGAAGATGATGAACCTGAGTAAAGGTAATAATGCAACATCTTCTAAACAAACACGCTTTTTACATTTCCAAAGCAGACCGTAAGAGTTTCTGCACCTCTTTCATTTCATGATACTGTCCAAGCAGCGCATATGGACAGTAGGAGATACTCATGCAGATGATGCCCATGCTGCTGATCATCACCATGGCAACGTACACATTAGGGAAGATCGCCATTACAGCAGTTCCTGTTAAAAGAGGACAGGAAATGTGACTTTGAGCTGAACGTATCCCATCTCATCCAGCGTATGTGTAACGGTTGCTCTTACCTATTGAGAATCCAAGAGTTCCCAGGATGTAAATTACTTTGATGCTCAGGTCAAAATTGTCCAGGTACTTCTGAAGAATAGCTGAAGACAAACATGATTTGACTTTAGATTTGAAGTATAAACACAGAGAACTCCCTAAATATTCCAAATACACATCAGTGTAGTTACCTGAGCAGATAGCAGCGGTCATGGCGTATATAACCAGCCCCCAGCATCCCATTTGAACCCCTTGGTGGTAATTTTCCAATAATGTTGAGTTAGTAGGAGCCTGAGGGAGAAACATTGCTCATAAAATTCCCCATAAAATGAAATCTGAACGTTACATAACAGTGTAAATGGTATTCTTTCCAGTATATTGGCTTGACCTACAGTCAGACCCGTGGAAATTTATGAAATGATGGTATAATTTATAGAATGAGAAATGATTATCTCACTTTTTTAAATGAAACATTTATACTTTTAATCCTAATATTTGTCAAAAGAAAATAATAGATCAGAGCTTCCGATGTTTCTATATGATGACCTTTTAACTCCAACCTAAAAATTTTAAACAAGACAACAACTAAAATCTTGTTATATCTACAGATGAAGGTACTTATGGTAAGACAAAATGTCCAAAGGGGTACACAAGGAAAAAAAAGTTTGGGAAACACCATGAAAAACAGCATAGAGCAAAAGATGTCTTCTAATCTAATGCCATGATGAAGGCTTATATCCTTGCTTATTTGACATCTACACATATTTAAAATCCCTCATTTTTAAATCTTAAATACGTGTCCAGAAAACAGGCTATTTCAGGCACAGTTTGTAGTTTGATCTCTCAAATCTTACATTTGCTTTTAAAACAGTATATAATACTGATTTAGTAGTTAATTTGTCTGCTAAGGTTTTATTTGATACTTTCTGCATCATATAAAACCATCCTTCTCAAAATCAGAAATCACTTCATCAGAGGTAAGACTATTTCTACGCATAATACTCCCTAAAACCCACTATAAGAAGCAAACTAGTGTTTACTACGTCTGTTCCGTACAGTAGGATCTCCTTCATAGATGACTTGACCCATGAAGTCAGTGAAGAACACAGCCTGGGCAATGATGGAGAACCAGGTGAGAAGGTGACAGGCGCAGAGCCGCAGCAGCTCAGGAGGCATCTTCAGCATGGAGAGCCACAGCAGCCGGACGGTGGTCTCAACCTGAGAACATACGGATAAGAGAAGCTCCAGCAAGGAGTAAACCATCATGTGGACAAAATGCAGATCCATCCTCACCTCGCCCTCCTCGCTCTCTGTATCTCCGCTGGAGGAGTTTGTGTTCCCGCTGCGGTGTCTGTTCCTCTGTCTGTTTCTCCTCCTGTGCCGGGCCTCCACTTCATACAGGTCGTTCATGCTGCGTGACGACTTGATGAGGAAAGCGGCGTTGGCTCTGCGGTAGCGGTAACGGTGGCTCCCCACTCGCCCGTAGTAAGAGAAAGTGCAGGACGGCTGGCGGTAGAAGGTGTGATGGCGGCGTGGCTGTCGCATGGGAGCTCCGGTACTGGCAGCTGGATCGAAAAAATGAGTTCAAGGGATTTTATTGAGAGAAGGAACTTAGCAGATAAAGACTTTATGAGCAATATTCATGGGTTTAAAAATAAAGGGCAGCTGAATAGAAATGTATATGTGGTGTCAATACTTCTGCCACATGCTGGCTTAGAGAGTCTGACCTTTAATCATTCCGGCGCGGTGCGCCTGTCCTTTAGAGCTCAGCCTGTCAGAGCTACCGATGTCTGCATTTGTCACGCTGGCCAAAAGCCGCCCGTTCAGAGTCCGCTGCTCATTGAGCTGGTTATTCAGCAGCGCCTCCTGCCCATCGTCATTCTCCATCTCCTGCAGGAAAGCCGAGAGGCGGGAGATCCTGGGCGTGTGAGCGTGCGTGTGATGATTGGCGTGGTGGGGGCGGAGCAGGTCTTCGCTGCCGGTGCTGCTGCTGCGGCGGATGCTGGCGAGCCGCGGACGGGAGCTGCTGTGGTCGGGACTGAAGAAGGACGGGATTCTCGGCGGAGTGCTGTGGTGAGGAGAGAGGCGCTCGGCAAAGATGGACGGCTCCAGGTGGCACAGGAACAAGGCGTCATGGTCCAGATGGTCGAGGGTGGCGTCTGCCATGGCGAGAACACTGTCGCTTTTACCTGGAAGGAAATCAAGAGGGAAATGAAAGGGAAAAAAAGGATTTAGATAAGAGATCTGAAGACGCCTTGTCAAGAAAGGATGACATCATTCATGAGGTGAACTTACTTCTGACAAGCTCCACTTCCAGGAAGTCCATGTCTCCTTGCTCTGAACGATTGTCACCATAATGATCATAGAAGTCGTAGGTTTCTATAGTATCATCCTCACCAATCATCTCTAGCTTCGGTGCAAGAAATCCAGCCTTGCCATTGGCTGATGGTCGAAGGTGGTTGGAATTGGGACTCTCCTGAAACAGAGATCATGTTTAAATATAACCCACTAATTTATTTAAACTTCTCTCCAAAGAAAACAGTTCTACTGAAGATCATTTAAGTGATTGAAAGTAAATGGTAGTAATTAATAAATGGGAAAGAATTCCAGCAGAGACTGTGGAGAGGAACTGAGAGACCCTCTGTCTTTAAGTAGATGGTTTATTTTCAGCTAGTTTTTAATTATTGACTTTTAAAAAATAGGGAAAAATGGAGTTAAAGCAAAAAAACAACATCAACACAAAAAAACAATACATTCAGAAAGCCTGAAGACAGCTAAGATTCAAACCACTTTAAAGAAAGGCCAGATAAAGTCTGCTACCTTGGGAGCAAAGAAAAAAAAAAGGAAACAATTCCTAACTCAACACTTGCACAGTATTACGGCTCTGCACCTGATCCAGCCTGTCGCTTTGTGGTGAATATTGCTGCTCCTCGATGCTCAAGAGATGAAGAACCACAGAGATGGAGAACAGGATGGCAGCAAACACAAATAGGATCTGTTCCTGGGACTTTAAGATATCCCCCAGGAAGGTGTGTGTCCAGTCTAACCCTCCGAGAGCGTAGCCGACCGCCCCCCCAAGGCCTGCAGAGGTAAATATATCGCAGCGTTAACTACTAAGCCTGTCCTTTAAAACAGCAACAGGATTTCATCTTACCAGCAGAAGCAGCGTGGATGTTCAATGCCATGTCTTGCTCCTCGGTATCTGCCACATCCAGTAAGTATGCCCTGATTGGTCCCTCTGTGGCATCTGCACAAAAGTCCAGGACTACAACACCCAGCACAGTGAGAACGATGCCTATGGGCTGACTGCCCTCCTCGTCCCCAAGAGACAGACCTGAAAAGGACGTATAGATGTTACTGAAGGTTTGCTTTTGGTTCTTTGCCAAGAAGATTACAACTGATCACCTACTTAACAGACTGTGATATTACCTTCAGGAAGATTTTCACAGCATATCAGCGGTAGCTAAAAATATACAGTATGTGAAAGCTTCTTAGCACTGAATAAAACCCACCTGCTTCAGACTGTTTGTACCAAAAACTGATTAACCTTTTGAGGAATGACCAATATTATGAAACAAGTTGCCATTAAATATTAGGCAGGATTCTTCTCCTGCAGGCAGGCAACTGAATCATCCTCAGTGCCTTTAAGATAGTGTGAGTTGGTTTGCTTCTGCTCCTGTTTCTATCTTATTCATTTCAGTCTATGTAGTGTTTTACCCCTGCTTTAATTTTTAAATTTTTTTTTTTTTACTTTATTGTTATTAAAGTGTCGTTGTGATCCGTTATGACAATCTAAAGTTATCAGGTTAAAAAGATTACCTAAACATATAAGGAAGGATGTTTCTTTTCCCAGGTGGATCATCATAATAAGTGGTCCTTCTAATTGTCAATCATTCTGGTGATATGTTTTCGTAAGGCCATCTTACGTACATCTGACATAGTGGAGAAATAGAAAATCTTCTTTTGGAAAGTAATTTTGTATGAGCGATGCAAAACTTTAAAACAGAGCCTGCACGAGGAGAAATTGGCTTGTGAATGCTTTTGCACGTGTTTAATAGTAATTCCCTTTTGGGAGCTGGTACGGGGTTGTGCATGTGCATTTGAAGAGGGTGGGTCTTTTCAAAAATTCGTAAAAATCCTCCACGATACCTTTAACAAATCAAACAGATTTAAATAAGGGGATAATTTCCTACTTATTTTCTGCTTGTTGCCTCCATGCCATTAAGTGTAAAGCTGTTGTATGAACTTGTTTCTTTTCTGCATGAAAAATAAGGAACGGTAACCTCACATTTCATTGGCTCATCTACTTATCTCGGTTTTATCTCAGGCATATTTGACGTCTTTCCTATTTTTGAAGAGATGCGCGATAACCACAGCTGATGTATGAACCTTCTGCGGTATTGCTGGGTGATAAGAAAGATACATTCTCAGAATGCATAAAAAAAGCTTTATAATCATCCAGATCTGGATAAATTATATATTAAAGGTTGTTTTTTTAGTGTGTGTGTGGGACCCTGAAGGAGGGAACCAAAAAAGCAGTGAAGTTATCATTTTCATCTTCAAACATTGTGCATTCATCTGTGCTCTACTGGTATATCAGCATTTAAAAAACATCAACAAGATGGAGGAAAACTACAAATAAAGAGGATAAAAGAACATAATTTCCATCTCCATTTGCTCTTTGGAATAAAGGTAAATTTACACCCTCTGTTGGTGTAAGCCATGTTGTCAGAGCTGTGTGCACATGTCATCAATAACTTATTTGTGACTTTTAATGGCTGCATGACCTAGATGAGTGCATAAGCAGGTCACTGCACTTTTCCCATCCTGCTTTGCATTTGTGACCTTGTCTGTTTTCTCTCGCCTGTGAAATCATTACAGCGATGAATTCGGCGGGGCCTCCTAAGGAAGGCGTTGCATGAATATGTTTGAAAAACGTAGAGCGCAGCTGGAAGTCTACGGTGAGGATGTGAGAGCAAGATATCGGAGGCAATGTGACGCAGCATGACTTTACAAACTGAAATCCATTAAAGTTGAGGAAATGAATGTGTTCTCGTAGAGGGAATGGCAAACGCGAGTGTGTGTTTGGGTTAGACAATGGAGCCACAGTGCTCATTAGCCAGGCACCCAGACAGGAAGTGACCTGTGATTGGTGGAGAGAAGGAAGCAAACAGGAACTGTTTCCCTGTGAACTGTGAGCTCCGGTGTTCCCATGTCAACACACATAAACTCACTCACACCCATAGGTTACTACAAGTTTTCCCACGTCACCTTCTGTTTTTTCACACATTTATATTTATTGAAAGACACACGTTTGCTCTCATTCATTTATTTCTCACACAGGCTGCTTGTTTTTCACATGCCAACTGTGCCTGTTTGGGTCTCTCACCCACTTCAGTTCTCTTCTGACCTAAATCCAAACTTTGAGGAGAAGAATAGAGGCAGAAAGGAAAACAATCCAGTAGAAGTAAATAGATTCTGCTGATAGAACACAGTTCACACAGCTCCTCATACCATTCATACCTCTTTTTTGTTGCTTTAAGAAAATAATTTTTCTTGATATTTCCTAAAACCAACAATGAAAAGAAATATTGTATGACCACTACTACAAGATCCAGACTGTAACGATAGAAATGATCATATGCAGCAGGAAGTGTATGTTAAATGGCTTCCCAATCAGATCTGTGAAGACTTAAAGCCTAATATGCTACGGCAAACAACGTCGATAACAGCTCTGAAATGAGGAAGCTAACAGCAGACGATGCTCTGCTGATATCAGCAGTAGATGTTTTTCTCTTTTCCCTCGCTAATGGAACAAAACCCTGCTAGGAAAAGAAACGGCCCTTAGATAGGATTACATTTTAGGGTTTATTTTTCATCCAGGACTCTCTGGGGTGCAGATGACAGTAAGCAAATTAGCTTCAAAAGTGAAAATCGTAAATTCTTTTTGTGATGCATTGAACCTCCATCTTTACCCAAATCAACTGCTTACTTAACTGTAAAATAGCTCCATAAATAGCTTGTAGGTTAGATTTGGAACAAGTGTTTTAAAAAAATAAATAAAACAAAATTACAAAAGAGGAGAATGACTAAAAATTTTAATTAAGAAAAATAATCATTTACACTTTTAAAAAAGAACTCCCCAATTTACAAAAAGATGTGCACCCACCTATCAATGACCCGTTTAGGAACAGCGCCACTCCAATCAGTGTTCCTATGCAGAGAGCCAGGATGAATGGCCTCCTCCTGCCCCAGCGCAGAGTGCAGCGGTCACTGGCAGAGCCGATCAGAGGCGTGAACATGAGGCCCAGAACTGGACTGAGCAGCCATGTAAGACTGTAATACTGCTCTGGAAGACCTGCAAAGGGACAAACAGAAATACTTTAAGTTTAAAAGTGTTTATGTTATTTTTCAGTTTTGACCAGCAGGGGGCAGAAGTAGTATCCCATCTGTAGAAGACTAAATGGTTTTCAATAGAAACTGGATTCAATCTTAAATCAAAACAACACACAAAAAAAAAACTAAATATTTTATTAACACAAAATTTTGGATTGTGTAAAGTTTTTCAAACAATAGATGATACGTAATTTTTATTGCATGTTTGATGTCAACATTTTAGAGTGGAGTTCACATAAATGCATCTCATTCAATTAGAATAGAAATGTTGAAAGCAATTCAATTAAGGAAAGTGAAAGACATAACATTAGTAGTAGAGTGATATTTATATTTAAAGAGTCAAGTTTGACTATTTCTAATGACTAACAGTTAATGGAAATCCAACGTTCAGTGTCTCAGAAAATGCATATGTTAAATGAGACTATTGATAGGGGGAACTTTGGTCCGGTCATATTTTTGCAGCTAAAATTGTAGCAACAAGAGACTGATGTATGAACTGATCATGTTAACAACACTATTCAAGACAGTAAGATGGTTATTTTGTTTATAAAAGTAATAAACTCAGGGCAAAACTGGCACAAAAAAAAGATGACAGAAGATAAAAATGTATTTTATACACAAGGTGATTTCCAGGAACTATAACCTAAAAACTTGAAAATGGCATCGATCAATAACTATTTAAAAGCTTTTAGAACATTTCGAGTCAGACTTTGGTGTCTTTTCCAAGTATTTTATGTTAAGTGCATCCACATTTTCAGTGGAAAGCAAACTTTGTGAATCCATAAATGCCATTTACTGAAAACCTGGTATACAGATGTAATCAATTGGAGAAAAATGAATGTCTCAGGCCAGATTTTTGACACTCTTTAAAATCTTCAAGGCATGACGTTTACATTTTGCTCCCAAGATGGTTTCATTTTGTTATGGATAAATTGCACGACATGCTGTGATGATCAGGTTTAAGTAATGAGAAGAATGAGTGAAATGTAACAAAATATTCAGACGTTCAGAAAGTCTGCAAAGGATTTTTACCAAGAACACTTTAAAAGATTAAATGGATCAGACTCTTCTTTAATGAAAAGAATAAGAAAGATGCTTAAATCATTTGTACAGTATTGTCCCTGTAACCATCCCTGTATTTTCTAACCAGTTTTAACCATCTTTTAATCTAATATACATCTCAACTGAATGGTGATCACATCACACTGCTAATGTAAATGGCCAGGGAATGTGACCTCATTTGTCATCACTTCTTACATTATTAATATGCTCTAACTTTCCACTGCCGGCATCAAGGGGAAGCATTCAAACATACCTGCAGCACAGCAGAGTTTCAAATTAGAAGAGGCCGATGGAAACATCTTTGGCCAAACAGAACGTGTGCTTAAAAAGTACGGAAAGGCACACATGCTGTCACTACCTCTGAATAATAACAGCCAACAAATACTCCTTTTAGCTTGTTAAACTACTTCCTAAATCCTCATCTATCAGAGCAAATGGGTATAACACAAGAGCAGGTGATGTTATTTAAGAAGACATCTGCATGTTAAGCAGGTTCATTTATTTTAAGAGATGCATTACTATTTGTTGTGGTTAAACTTTTTCCATCTACATAACTAAAAATATCTAAGAGAACGGAAACGAGAAATTAGATGAATCCTTATGCTTTGTTTACGGTCACTTAATAGTTGTATTATATATGTGTGTGTGTGTCACCATTATTGCTATCTTGCTTTTAATGCATTTATTGAGTTAGTATGGGTCTTAGGCAATGCAGCTACTAGAGGAGTTAGCTTTCAACTTTAGAGGAAAATCACAAAAAAACTTGTTTCACAACAGTCACACCCCTTTCCCGCCCATTGTGAATGGGGTTTAAACCAGTTTAAACCTGGGAACAATCGGCTTTTAGTGGCAGTAGGAACAGCTCAGTAGATGCGTGTCGACCCGGGTCAAACAATTCGACAAGCCACCTGCCTTAAAATCGCCTTGGCTCTGATTTTAATGCTATGGGAACACCAGAGCTGGGTTGACCTGCTAAATTACGTGATACCATTGAAAGCAACGTACGGCAGTCAACACACCGTGCCAGTCGCATCTCGTCTAACAAGACAAAACAACCCTGTTTAGATTAAATTAACATGGTGCAGCACTGGTAACAGGGATTTGGACACATACAAGAACGGAACAATAAAGAATACTGACTATGCCCTGGCTCCCGATCTTGCCAGCGGAAAGGGAGCAAAATGCCGATTGTTAGCGGGTTGACCCATGTCTGGAAAACCCAGTTTAACCCACTGATATCAGTGGGAAAGAGACTTTGTTATACACCTTTCCTATTGTTCTTTTTAATACAATTTTCTCACCCCTGACACTTTTCTCCACTTGTTTAAACCTGCTTCAACATCTTTTCTGCATGCACAGTTGCTCTGGAAAGTTGACTCAAGTTACTTTAGATTCTCCAAGGCTTCATCTCTGGTCCATGTAACCTCAGGGCTCCGCTTGGATCCCTCTCATTCACATCCATGAATCCTACACTTATTATTAATTCCCCTCATTTCCAGGGAAAATCTCTATTTCTCCATCGTTTCTCTCTAAGGATCACAATGTCATCTGCAAACATCATAATCCATGAAAATGTCTTTTAATCACCACCACAAAGAAGGGTGTCTGGGTCCATTCTTGGTTGAACTCCTCAGTCACCTCCAGCCGTATGCTGGAGGTGACTGAAAACAAAAACAAAAATGCAGCCGCATCTTCCATTTTCTGTATCTCTCTATCAACATTCTCAGATAAAATGATGTATTGTGCTGGTGTGGCATACTAGCATACATGAAAGAGAAATTACAATTTGAGGCTTAGATTTGGCACTGCTATTCTTATCTTGTCCCGCCACCATCACACATTCTTTAAAGCAACTGAAATAAAGATGTTTTTATAGTAATCTTGCTATGTACTTAAGCTTCCAGAGGGCGGAGCTGCAGCCCTGGCTGCCTTCCACTTTCTGTAATAATGCATTAAACTGTAGCCTTTTATGTTACATTTAAAAAGCTGTAAAGAGTATAAAATATAACAGTATTTTGAAGAACAAGATAAACATAATATAAAACTGTTTCATTGTGTGTCTCTGCACAGATTCTGCAGTGAAAAGACTGACACGTGCTGTGGAGACACATCTGAACTGATTTAAGATAACACAGGTCATGTTCCTATTGTTCTTTAAATATGTCGACCTCTGTCTTTCTCGTGTACGTTCTGTATACTGGGCTCAACCTCTGCCGCTTGTAGTGACAGGGTCCTGAGAACTCTGTCACGACACAGTCTCCATCACCTTCACTTCCCGGCTCCTAATAAGGCTTTACCATTCACAAAGTGCTTCCTGCCGACGGGCTGTTTTAGACTTTTTTATCTCCAGTTTTGTTTCTGTATTCATCTTAAAAACAGACACACACAAAAAAAACACATCAACAAATCAAATACTGTGCTGCCATAAAGTATGAAACAAGGCAGCAGATAAGAATCGGTCTGTCTGTCGATTTGTCAACATCAAAACAGGAAAACAGTATCTAGTAAACAATCCCCACACAATACTAAAAACACAGACTAAACGTAGTAAATAAAGACATGTCTCTGTTCCCACACATTTCAAAACCCAGTTCCCACACAGTCCTGGTACTGTATGTGCAAAACACACACATGCACAGGGAACAATACTGAGAGAATCAAATCGCAGGAAGTATTATAGAAAAAGAAATTAGTGCAAAAAGAGAGAGGTCAAGGAGAAAACAGAGAGGAGGAGTGTGAGAAAGGCTCAGCATCAAAGGATGCAAAAAAAAGGGAGGATAGAGAGAGCTGGGATAAGGTGAGAAGAGGAGGAAATGTGAAAGACAGAAAGGGCAGAGTTGGCAGGATGGAGTCTAAATGAAACAGTTTATATTATTCACATATCCTAAGGAAAAAAAGCAACAACTTCCCCATCTATCAGCAAGCTCTGTTTTTTCCTAGTATGCACATTTCCTCCCTGAAAAACAGCAAAAAAATAACGGACCTCAACATGCAAAGGTTTCAACACAAACGACCCATTCATTAACGTATGTGTAGGCTTTATGTGTTTTTTTTTCTCTACTTTGTTTCCACACGGAAGCGAAGAACATAACTGTAGTGCCTTGCATTTGTTTACAACTCTAGAACGCCTGGAGTGTGAATCGTTTATAGTAGCAGGAGTAGAGAATAAAGTCCTCTCATTGGTGTTTACACATGACTATAAGTTGTTCACCTTTTGACTTGTATATTAAACATCACACTAAGTTCTTTTACCAAGAGCCAAAATCCTTAACAGAACGTAAGATTTTAATGTATGATTGAGAACAAGGGAAGGGGTTGTTAGGTTAAAGTTACATGAATATTAAGGGATGAAAACAAAAAAATCTATATTTAAAGCTCAGCTCTTACGTCAGTTGGTCTTTTGTTGAACCAGGGATGTAAATAAATAATTAACTTCCAAATCATCGTATATTAATGGTTCATTAGACCAAAATGTATTCTATCCGATGAATTTTTTAGTTTTAGGAATTTCTTTTAGTGTAGTTTTATGTGCAGTGTAGTGATGTTGGTCTAAATATGTTAAAATGTTATTTTTAACTACCAATTGCAGATTGTGAGACGTAAAACTTGTAATTACTTAAAATTATATTTTGTTTGTCATATTGTGGACCTCAATGGAGGGTGCCAGTTTTTCCCCCTGTGCAATTAACCCTGGGTAAATGACACAGGTACATCTTAGTGAACTATAACCTACCGAGTAAACGCGGGAAGGCTAGCATTAGCAGAACTGTTGTGTTTTTTTTTTGTTTTTTTTTTGTTTTTTTAATCATATTGCAATTGACTGGTGTAAATTTAAACCGTGCCAAACAGTGTCGTTTTCATAAGCAGTTATATATAAGATATCTTCTGAAACAAACAAAA